TATTGGTGATTTATTATGAAAATAGTGATGGGTGTATCTCTGATATATCTCTTATAGATTGATGAGGTTGTTTACGATGGTAATCCTGCTAGATACAAACGCAAATCCATTCAAAAATAACTGTTCTTACCCAGTTTTCCAAGCTAAACACGAACCTGAACTTAATTCCTGTGATTTCTAAAGATATAATATAACTCTGAGAGTAGAGTCAGTGGTCACCGAATAAGATCGCATACAGTGTGGTCCATGCTAACTTAGCATGCCTATATTTTCTCCTTGTAATTTAGTGGTAAAAAAAAAAGTGAATATACCGTTTTCACTTTTTGAAGTACACATAACACTCGGATTTAAATCTGAGGTTTTCGCATTTATATCTTATCAAATAAAACCATTTCTAAAAAAGCTTCAAACACATGTCAGAAAACTGTGTCCGGATCTCTTAGTTTTCAAAATCCTTATTAGAGAATCTCTTTAACCACTCAAATCTTTTATCGAATTCTTTTTAGCTATTAGCATCAAGAAGAAAACTCAAAAGCTCTAAACTTATGTCCGCAACTATATATATGCTCGTTAAATTATAAAGACTATATTCGAAATATTTGACAATATCAACGTAGTTTTAACCATACCTTTCTCAACAAATAAACCCGGATAACCTCGAAAAAACCAATAACGATTATAATTTCGATCAAAACCTAATGGTTTTATTCGAAAACCATATTGTACATTAAGAAATGCATCCTAAATAAATATAAAAATTTTCATTTTATATTTTAAATAAATTTTTTTTATACTCGATAAATTTGTTCTGCTTTTTGAATAGCTAATTGACGTTTTTGTTTAATTTGAAGTTGTTGTGCTTCAAGTTCACGTTTTTCTTTTAATTCTTTTGACATAGCAACCATTTGTCGTCGTCGTTGTAAAACAGTTTTAAGATCATCATCATTAACATTATCAATATCACCATTTTCATCACCAACTATTGGTGATGATTGTCGATTTTCATCATTAGTTGTTCCATTACTATTTTTTGGTGTTATTAATGGTCCAAGTTTCGATTGTTTTTTTGATGAAATTTTTTCATTGTCACCATTTTGTAATTGTAATTTTTTTTGTTTACTTTCTTCTTCTTGTGCACGACGACGTTCAGATAATAATTGATTACGTTCACGTGATGCTTCAGATAATGTACGTGTTAAATATTCAAAATAATCAGACATAAGTTCATTATCTGTTGTGATTGTATTTACCAATAAGAGAAGAAGATCGATCTAAATTTAATAGGTGAAACACAAAAATATAATTTGAATATGTGATATGGAATCTTTAAGAGAAGAAAACTATAGCGCAAAACAATTAAACGAAAACTCTTGTAGGATGTTACTCTCTTGATTCTTATGTTGAATAAAATAATGATTTAATATTCTATAATTTTACAAAGAATTTAAATATGAAAAAACAAAGTTTCTACGCCTCTTTCACTTTCTTAACATAAGTTCGATAAAAATGACGAATATTTGATTTTGAAATTAACTACACATTTTCTCGAATTATAGCAAAAAGAATCGAAATGGAAGATAATTACCAACTACTTATTTCAATATAAAATCTATCATGTTATGTTGTCATTCTTTGAGAAAGAAAATTTATTAGTGCCATAAAATTCCAACGATGAATTCAGCATCTTCATTTTTCAAGTTCGATGTTCCAATCAGCCGGTAGATCATTTTGTTTACAATTGACTTTCTCAGTAAAAGATTACCTAGGCCGGACGCGTTCAATATTGGATTGAAAGGGAAATTTGTGTTAAAATCTGACTCCGCGAAGTTATGGACAACTTTGCAGGAAAACATTTATCATTTTGTAAATGCAAACCTAATATTAGTTGTCGATTGAGGCGATCTTCATTTAATGAGAAATAGAAAAGTCTAGAATGATTTGTTGTTCCGAACCTTCGTTCTTGAGAAATCGACTTCTGATTTCAAATTTTGCATGACCAAAGTTCTCAATGAGAGTAGTTCATTGGACAAGTTGAAACTTTCTAATTTCGTATATCCCGTGATATTCAATATTCTCGAGTGACCTGAGGAAACCATAGCTTTTTGTTGAAGAATTCAGTAATATTTCGATATTTCAAGAGCGAAGACTCGTAACACCAAAACCATTCTACACTTTTCTTTTGTTTACTAGTACTCATCAAATAAACATCGTCTTAATCGAAAAGTAGCTTGACATCTAGAAAGGTTCTCTCGTCATCGATCTCAATACTGAACGTAATCTCAATTTGGACACTAACATAGATATTAAAATTGAAAAAGAACAATATTTTATCGCTAGTCGGAGCAATGCGCTCAGAAGATCGGGTTGACTCTTACGGAGTTTATAGCTCTTGTACTATACAATACTATGTTTCTGTGTTCGTCCACTTGGAATAGAAAATAAGTATACAACACTAACTAATCTGATCAAAAATAAGAATTAATAAATGCGGAAACTTCGGATTTAAATCCGAGAGTTATGTGTACTTCAAAAAGTGAATCAGACGAATTAGCCATCCTAGAATGTGTAAACATCAAGATTATACTGGGGAACCTACCCTCTAAATTGTTGATTTCTATTGAGTATTGCCAAGCCAATAGGACTTGGGACTGAATACAGCTCAAATTTGAACTCTTCCCCTTGATTTACCCTAAGAAAGTCGTTTTTCCTATAACTTGATTTCTATTAGTTACTGCTCAACCAACAGTATATCGATCGAAGCGCAATGCAGATTCGAGTTCTCCATCTCAGAAAACATCGAAGTATTATCTCTGCGATCGGAAGATAGAGCTCTATTTGTGGCTCAATTAGATCGTGGACAAAGATATAAGCTAGTTCTCTTTAATTATCTTTGTCATAGGTGAGTCAACCTTCTTGTTTCTTTATGTTTTATATACCATTTTGTAGCTCTTGAAATTCTCTATCGAATGGTATATAGGTATATAATAGTTGGGGTTTTAATTGACTATGATAGGAAAAGTCTTTTACGAAAGTGGGGACGGGTAGATCTTTTCATAGGGAAGCTATAGGGAAAAATGGGTATTTTTGCAATAACTCAGGAACCGCTTGGCCAATCCTTCTCATCTTCGAACTCGACCGAGATATTGTAAAGACTGAACTGTATAGAAAATTTCATCGTGATCGGACTATCCTTTCGAAAATTATCGTGTAAACGGCCGGCCGGACATACTGACCGATTCTAGAGCGTACTCACTTTTTGAGTACACAATAAAACAATTTCTTTTCTTTCTAATGTTTGTATTTCTTATATCAATATACATAGAACTTGTGATAGTTAGGTTTATATTCCAGATATTTGAATTTTTTTAATTGAAGATAAAAATTCTATGATTGTTTTGTTTTTGTGTACTCAAAAAGTGAGTACACTCTAGAATCGGTCAGTATGTCCGGCCGTCCGGCCGTTTACACGATAACTTTCGAAAGTAGAGTCCGATTACGAGGAAGTTTTCTACACAGTTCAGACTTAACAATG